GACATTATATTCATATAAGAAACATGCTATGTTTGAGAAGCAGTCCTTAACTCTCACTAGATTCTCCACTATATTTACTTAGAAGCAATTTCTACTAAGTTCAGCAGGACATACAAACAAATAGACAGGCAGCCTTGGAAATGTTGTAGCCGTACTAGCAGCACACATAGCTGCATGGGAATATTTCTTATTCTAAAGGAGACGACTACGGGAAAGACAAATGGTGCATCTGAACTACCTTTTTCTGTTGTGATCATGGTGCTGCTTTAAAAGGGCATAGTTCAAGTTTGGACCCTCTTATTCCTGAAGGTGAAGCCAGTGGCAGCTGGTAGCTTTCATGACAGTAGGGCTGTGAATTCACTCCAAGTTTTAGATTAAATGTTAAAGGAGCCATTCAAGGCTCTGAACCTAATTTAGTGAGAGGGTTCAGCACCTTGGTTAGCTCCTCAAATGTTCAAATTAAAACCCAGAGCAATTCATCATTTCACAGCCATAGAAGTTACCAGACACCAGAAGGTGAAGCTCAAAATAGGCTTGTGTTCCCCTTGCCCCAAAACTGAGATTGAAATGAGAAGTTGTCACAGCCTCAGCTATATTTTACAGGGGAATAATAATGAAATTTCGAAGATTCACTTGTAACACGAAATGCTAATGACCTGAAGTCAAAGTGGGAATGCCCAAGAAGTATCAACTGGAATTGTTTTTCAGCATAACTTCATTTGCATCTTCTTTTTAATCTTGTTGTGAACCACCTAATTTTAGAGGGAAAGTAGGATATAAAGTAAGGATGAATCCATATGAGAGCTGTATCCCAGCTCCAGTGTGCAGTATCCTTCCTTGGTTTGACCCTCTTAATGTCACACCTCATCTGTTTTAATCTCAACTCATATTGGTCTTGAAAGCCACACAGTTCCTCTACCCAAAGACACAGCAGTACAAAAAGGCATCTCTGTATGTGTTCATTGTGTTGGATTATTTTAGGCCACACGACTGCAGCCGCTGCAGGCTTTTTTTCCTTCCTGTCATGTATGTGAATATATACATATATCTGCATATCCGTATCAATCAATAGCCTTTCTTGCTTTCCTGTCACTCTTACTCCCCACCTGCACTCCCACTAAATGGTTCCTTGTTGCTCTGATTTCCTTCTCTTTTCCCTCTGTAACCCCATAAGGACCTCTCCATCCCATGTGTGTGTATAAATGTGTCTCTGTATGTTTGTCAGGAGAATTAAACCCCTCCTCGTTCAGTTAGGCCATGACATTTAAAGTTCCCTCACCCACTCACTCAGGTGGAAGAGGGGAGTGGGAAGAGGGAGGGTGGGTGCTGCAAAGGTTTCTGGGGTAGACAGAGAGAGTAGAATGGGGAAGAGGGAGAGAAGAGAGCTGAGGCAGGTGGACAGGATGGTGGCAGCAGTATAAGAAGGACAAGAGCATTCTTCACATTCACTTGTCTCTCCCATTGATCCCCTTGTCTTTTACTGAGCTTTCCAATTCCAGAACAAGAGATGTGAAACTCACAGTCTCTGCCCTATTCCTCTATGTGTGCATATTACAAGCTGTGGTTGCCCATCTGGGAGAGAAAGCATTGCACACCTGTTTGCAAATACATGCACATGCACACAAACACTAGGAAATCTCAGTAGTCACATGCAAAACATCATGTATGTAGGTTTGCCATTTGTCTTGAAAAAAATGGGGAAATCCTGGATTGAAGGGTCTGAAAAATGTCCTAGCCAGCTGAAGCAGCAAATTCAGGATTTCTCAAGACAGGAGTGAAACCTTGCAAGGACCTATCATCCCACCTTTGAGACTCTGAGGGGTACTGCATAGGAGTGCCAGACCCAGAGTCCAAAAGGTGGAAAAGGAAAGGAAAGGAAAGAAAAAGAGGTGAGTAGAGACTTTGAGAAGAGGAAGCCTTGTGGTGTGTTCTGGTAAGTCTGGCGATGCTGCTGCAAGTGTGGGT